CTTGATCGTCCGCCATCATGATATCTCTATTCCGTTCGGCCTTCTGCTCGTGGAGAGCCGAGGCTTGGAGTTGTGAGGCAGCGACAAACAAGACTTGCTGGTTAGAAGGAGCTTCAGAATTCTTTACCCGCTGCGTCATCTCTTTCTTTGTCAAGGTCGTTTTAGGCTTCGCTCTCTTCCCCACACTGCGTTGGATACTAGGGACGGAAGGCTTCAAAGGCGATCGAGCTTCTTTTATCTTGTGGTAGTGGAGACGAATCGTTTTCTGTTGAGCATTGGGGTCAGAATTCTCTTTTTCGGCCAGCACTGAAGTCGACTGGACAAGAGTTTCTGGAAACGAAAGGCCGGGTAAATGGGTTTGTGAAGAGGGCTGGGGCTCCAAAATCAGCCGGGTTTGGGGAATGGATATTGAAGGGTTCTCGGTTTGGGCCTGGGGTGGAGAAGCATTTTTAGGCCCAATGACCCGCCATTCTTGACCTGTTGACGAGGGTTTATTGCCCGGGAGAGGGTGACTGGAGCTGCCCGACACTTTCCCTTTCCCATTATCAGAGCTTCCTTTCCCCTTCTCCGGTTTTTGAGCAGACTTACCTTTCCCCAACTTAAGAGTCGTTGCTTGATTATTCTCATGGGAAATCAGAAGGGGGATTTTGGGATTCCCTTTCCCAAAATTACCACCCTTGCTGGGCTGATTGACACTGATTGGGGGCGTAATTTGGGGAACTTTCCGATTCGGCTTCCTGGTTTTCCGCGTCACTTGCATCCATGGACCGTAGCCGGCGGGGGGCTCCGGCGACTGTTCCGGTGGAGGAATACGAATGTTCATGTCCGAGCTCGGGGACGAGTTGCTGGTGGTAGCGCTGATGGTTCGGGGGCAGCACTCCTCAGAATGGCCGATGCTGCCACAATTGAAGCAGATTGTTGGGATGTTCTCGTACACAACTTGCTGCCAGAAACCGTCAAGATGAATGCGAGTTGCCAGCGGCTTTGACATATCCAATTCCACAGCGACCCGAGCGAACTTGCCCCTTTCCAGGTGTTCCGTATGATAATCCAATTTCACTGTTCGACCAAGGAGGTTACCAAGGGCGAACAACACCTCACGATGATAGAAATGTACTGGCAGCTCAGGAAATTGAACCCAAGCTACTACCGATTTATGAGGCTTGTCCGACGTGCGGAAGGACGGCGACCGTTGATGCACCACAAGATAATGATCTAGGATCACCCACGGTCCTCCGGTGAGCGCATTGAGATAGTCTTGATCATTGCTGAACGTCACCAGAAAGGTCTCATTATTGAGGTCCATAATATCCAGTGAGCCACTAGGCCGCCACTTCCAACGGATTTGAGAGCAGAGGCAAGGAGTCTGATCACGAGGGTTTTTTTTTCCAAGGCTCGCACAGCCTTTCCTTGAACTGAGCAGAGATCTTGAGTTGAGGTTCACCCTCGAGGGTACCCGACAGGAGGTCCTGTTCGCCGACGAAGGTCCAATTGTTCATTTGCGCCCTATTGGCGTTCTGAGAGCCGGTCAGGGCTGCTCTGAAGTTCAGTGGCGGGGCGGATGCCCAGAGATTCGGATTCGAGGAGGGCGCAGAGAGTAGCGGGAGTGAAGGATCTGGCGGCCGACCAGCTTGCAGTAGTGGCAACGCCGGAGGAGAAACGAGAGAGGAAGGGTTTTCAGAGAGCATTTTCAAATTCACAATAAACAGCAAGTTATAAATGAAATACAATATAAAATGAAGACATAACAACCGTGGGTATCGAACTCAGCACTCTCTTCGCCCCTGCTTGTTATATTGATCGACGATTGAGTTATGTGAAACCGTATTATACTGATATATCATCAGTTGGACCGTTATACTGATATATTCCAACTAGTGGTATAATTAGTTATAGAGTATACGGTAAGTGATCTAGTCGTTAGATGTACTTCGATGAGCTCCAATCAATCTCAACGGTCAATTATTGCTTTCTATTAAATTAAAATTCGAAATTGGGTTTAGAGAATTGGGGCATGGAGTTCATCCATTAGAGGTTAGAGTATAGTATCGTAACCTAATCTCGGTTTTATTCATGGTGTAGATAGAGATATCTCATTAGAAGTACCTGGAGTATAGTATACTCTAGGAGTACACCAGTCTTACCCATATATTTGTTGATTTTTATAATTAGATTTTACTGAAGGGATTTGAACCTGAAACCTCTAAGTTCAAGACTAGTGATATTACCACTAAGTCAAGACCTTGTTCACAACTTGTTTAATAAACTTGTAGAGTATTTTATAAGGTTTTTGGTATGTTTTAAGAAACTTTTGGTATGTTTTATGAGATTTCTAGTATGGTTTAAGAAATTTATGGTTTTCTTTATGAGGATTTTGGTTTGCTTTATGAGCTTTCTTATATGCTTCGTGGAACTTGTGATATGATTTATTAGGTTCCTAATCTGGTTAAGAATCTTGTGGCCTGGTTTGATTTTTCTTGTATGTTCTATGATTTTTTTGGTGTGGTGAGCATCTGGTCTACTTGGTGTAGTTTGTTGTATTTCTGGTTTGTGCTTTGTGGTATGCTTCATTATAGTTGTGGTGAGGCGGGGCACAAAACAAATGAGAAGTGCCACACGCACGTGACCAATGTAGTCAAAATCGTGCTATAAACCTTATGTTTTTACGGTTCTAGTTTCCAAAACCCTTTTTCGTAAAATCGCGCTTTTGACTACATTGTGCGTGGCCCCTTAATTTTCAAAAATGACAAGGGTGCCCCTCCTTTTATAAATCAACATCAATTGTGGTCCATCTTATATGAAAAAGTTTGAATTTTTTTTATTTGTTAAACTAGTATTAGAACTATACTAATGGGTTATTAGTACCTTAACCCTATCTCTATTGAAAGATATATAAAATATAGATGTTATTGCCATTCCCTTGTAAATTCACCCCAATTAAAGTGTGTTATGCGTTGTTGGCAAAGCAGCAACTTATTATGAGTGCCTTGGTCATCGCAAAAGCTTGAAAAGAAAAAGGAGACCGACATGCAAATTAAAGAAAAAATGTGCATTGACTATAATAATTCATATACATTATATGTGTGATTGATTCCTCTTCGCCTCTGCCTCTTCAACAATGTGCAGTGCACTATTACTACTATATCATAAATTTATTAATTATAATACATTTATTTAACAATCACAACTTCTAAATCGCAAACTCTTAAGAGGAAGGGCAGGAATCGTAGCTTATTGAGGCAAAAGTTTGGCGAAGGAAAAAGGGTTACGATAGGCTAGGGTAGGTGGGGGTTCACTTTTCTTTCTCTTTTGACCGAGCCGAGACCGCCAAAGTGTAAAGTTCGGATGTTTTTCGAATTGAACTTACTTCTATTTCTGATCATTGTTTTGCTTCCAACAAATTCTAGAAGTGTTTTCCGTGGCTACTTTCACTTTGGGTTTGGGTGGAAAAACGTTGCAACAATGAAAAGAAATATACACATAGAATAATGATGAATAATATTATAAAAATTAATATTTGCATGGTAGTGAGGGAGATTCTTGGCGTTTTGCTATATGGGCTGTTGATTGATGATCCATCATGCACGTCTTTCATTATTGTATGTTTATATATTATATGGATCGATGTAGACAAGCACCAAAACACACAACCCTAGCTAGCTACTATCAATTAGGTACATTTGTTTGCATTATGTCTTCCAAACATGGACTAACGCCAATCGTAAAAATACCTTTTGTTGATATTTAATTTCTTAATGAATACAATTGCCAGGGATTTAAGTATTTATTTTGTAACTACGTACATGAATTACCTCTAGATTATAAAGATGTGAGATGGTAAGTAATCGCTTGAAGTAATTATATATTGACATGATATTCCGTTTAAAAGATTTCTTTTAATAATTTTTCAGTAATAATTTTCTCCACTTTTGGAAGGCCTTTGCTATAAGTTAACTTATATACTCTATATAAACTTAGCAACGATTTTGTTTAGATGCTTCAACAAGCAAATACTCTAATAAACAGAATGGAGTGAGATTAAAAGTAGATTAGTATAAGTCTGCTCGCTACCACTTTGCATTTTAATAAGAACATAATTTGAATGTTAGACAGAAAGTGGAAGGGTAGTATGTTGTTTGGGATGATATATAGTGATTAGTTAGGAGGATTTTTGAAATTGTTCTAAATGTTACAATATTTTTTTTTTGAAGTGCAATAGATTGTTCAGATACCGGAAAGACGGAATTAACAATGCCGAAAATTCGGTAGCGGTCGTGGGAAACGGTGGAGGAGGACAATTTAGAATTCCGCCGACGGTGATTCGAGATGGTTGTGAATTGGTGGGTGAAGGCAAGATTGGACAGAGCAGCTCTAATATGGATCTGCAGAAGCGGCCGTGGCAAACAGTTGAGGAGGACAAGTTAAGATTCTGCCGATAGTGCTTCGAAATGAGCTGCGAATTGGTAGGTGAATCAGTAGACAATAGATGAAAGCTCAGTGAATAATACATATCACTGAGATATTAGTGAACAATAAATGCAAATCTAGTGGACAACAACTGCATGAGAAACTCGGAGGACAATAACAGTTGAACACAGTGGTTCTGGAATGAGAGAATAATAAGTTAAAAAAGGGTTTTCCAAAATTGAGGAGTTTGAAAGGTGGGTATGTGACTTATCAAAAACAACCATATGGAAATTCCTCACTTGCGGGCTGCGGCAATGAAATTTGAGAATCACTAATAAATAGTAACACTAACTTTAAACTTTTCTATATTATATAATTAATTAAAATAATTTTTTTATCATGTTTTCCATCGCATTTTGTGATCAAAGTTGAGGATCCTAGCTAGCTAGCTACAACAGTGACAGTCATACCAACAAAAACACAACAAAGAAAGAGCTTAAAACACTAGATCTTTTTGATGAACAAAGACTACAATATTATAATACAATCCATCTGTTTTAATTTGTTTGCACTTTCCAGTTACGATTTGTAGTCCAAAGCCAAGAATCGAAAGGATTCAATATTCATTCAAAAGCTTGACACGACAAATCATGAGTCAGAGAGGAAGGAACCAGAGCAAAAGAGTACAAACTCCCCCCCTCCACTCCCCTATTTAATTATGACAGAATCATTCACATAAAGAGAAGAGAGAACAGTTACCCATATATATATATGTTGCCATCATCACCATAACTTCTTATTGCTGCCTGCCTGCCTGCCCCTTAATATGCTCCAATCCCAATGGACACACAGACCACTACTGCGTTTTCTCCTCATTGTACACACACACACCAAACCTTAAATGCATCGAGTATGGAGAACCTGTACTTGCTCGATATATATATACCCTAGAAGAGAGTGAGACCAGCAGTGGTGTTGCTTTTCCCTGCTTTGTTCCTCTTTTCTTTTTCTTCTTCTTGGGAAGGAGAAGATTGCTGGATCTCTGATGACACAACCCGAAAATAGGAGACAGTAAGAACCCTTTTTTCCAGGAATTTGACTCCTTTTATTTATACCATGGACACCAATTTGGAACTGCAAAACTCTCCCCCATCCCCATACTCTCACAGGCTAGCAATTAACTGATATCATCGACCACTTTTTTCCGTAGATGCAGCATATATATCAAGCAGGACCTCTTCTCTAGCAGCCTGGCTTGTGGTTCTACTTAGTAGGGAAATTATAGTTTAATGGATACATAAATTTAACTGCATGCTTCCAAACAATAGGGTAACCCAATTAGTCGGTTGTCGACACAACTCATCCTCCTTCTGAAACCATACATGTTGGTAAGACGGAGTTGAAGATCAATAATGTCTCGATAAACTACTAGCTCAAGTTGCGAATTAGAGAAGTACTACAGAGAAGAACTATATAGAGAGATTGTTTTTCTTTTTATACAAGCTGTATGTTACATCAAGCTAGCTCGCAAATTCATTTCATGATGGTGGTAAGGTAATTAAGATGAGTTTAAGATGGACGCGCGAAGTAACGCATGTAGAAGAGAGAGAGACGGAGGTATATACAACGTAACTAGCAAAAGGAGAGAGAAAGGAAAAAATCTAACAAATCGATCGCATGAACGAACGTAAGAGTAGTAAAATCGATCTTTACGTAAGTGTTAGAAATATATAACAATTAATGTAGCAGCTAGCTAGCTAGCTAACCCACGCACATACATTACAATGTAGCTAAATGATACCGACAAGGCACACACTACAACTCTTACACACCGAAACAGACCAATAAACTAACAAGTAGAACAAGCAATCCAGCAGAATAAAATCCCATAATGAAAACATATATATATATAATATATAGGTTGAATTAATGTAGCCATAGAGAAATAAATCCCCCCACCAATTTGTCACACACACACCACCTTTGTAGCTAGCTGATTGATCCATTACCAGGTTAATTGTGGGAGTTGAGACCCGTCAAATCCGTCCAGCTGACCGCATTCCCGCCGCCGCCACCGCCGCCCCAGTACTGGCTGCCGTCGGGATCCGCAAACGGCGGAGGAGGACGGGATAGGTTAAGGCCGTGGCTCATGGCGAGCTCGGGTTTGACCGGAGCCAGCTCATCATGATCATGCTGTGCCTGTGATGGATTAAGATTAACCCTAGAGCTCGAGCCAGCTGTCAACGCCCTAATAAGCTGCTGCCGCTGACCATTAGCGTTATTACTGTCCACGTCATCCTCCTGAAACGACGACCCGTATAGATTGCCAGGTGGCCCCCCCGCCGCCGCCTCGAAGAAAGGGAACTGCTGCACCATGGCGGCGGAATCATGCTGCTGGCTGCTGCTGCTGCTTACTCCCATGTGAAACATTGCCATTGCACCGCCGCCTCCTTCTCCGCTGCCGCTGCCGAAGTTCAGCCCTAAGCTGTTATTATTATTGCTGCTAGCGTACTGGGAGAGGCCGTGTAGGTGGGAGGACATGAACGGCGGCGGCGGCGGCGGAAGCTGGTGGTGATGATGTGGCAAGTGCCCCATGATCCCGCCCGCGGAGCTGGTGGACGCTCCGCCGCCTCCGGCGGAAGATGCGGAGGAGTTCCTGTGGGGCTTGGAGGAGGTCTTCTTGTTGCGGCGGCAGCCCCCGCCGACGGGGACGTTGCGTAGGGCGCCGCCACGGGTCCAGTAGCGGCGGCAGGTCTTGCAGAAGTGGCGGGGCTGGGTGAGGCTGTAGTTGTTGAAGTAGCAGAACTTGGTGTTGGTGGACTCGCACCGGGGGCACTTCAGGCCCGGTTCGGGCTGGGGTATCTTCGCCATCCGAGCCCTATCCGCCATCGAACCGGGCCTGATGGACCCCAACCCGCCTCCTCCTCCTCCACCGCCGTCTGGCTGCGGTGGAGGAGGAGGAAGCGGGGGAAGCAGATGTTGTTGTTGTTGTTGCTGTTGCTGGTGGTGGTGGTGCTGATGTGTCGAATTCGCTTCATAGGAGGCAGAAGAAGCTGCTGCTTGGGGTGGTACTAGTTGGTTGGGTTGCTGCTGCAACCAAATAAACAATACCACCACAACCACAACAACAAAGAAAAAGAACTCAGATTATGATTTATGGATGCAAGTATATAAGTATATATCTACAAAGATTAAAGGAACAAGGAAGGAATAGGAATCATTCTATCCCCCTTATCTTTATTTTTACAATATGCTTGGTTGCTCTTTTTTTTCTTTTGAAGAAAGATTGGAGGAGGATTAAAGGTGGTGAATGAGTGTGTATGTGTTTTTACCTGCTGGTGGTGATGCCAGTTGGGAGGATCTAAATAGACTGGAATGGAGGAAAAAACCATTGTGGGTTGTGTGTTGTTTTTGTTGATCCCCTTCTTCTCTTGCTCTCTTTAAAATTTTTGGATCTTTTAATTTTTGCTGCTTGCTGCTTTTTTTTTTTTTTTGGGTGTTCCTTTCTTTTTATAAAGTTTGATGGGTCTTTAGGGAAAGGAAAAACATGGTGGGAGGAGAATCACAGAAAGAAAGAAACAATGGTGGCAGAGGAGAGAAGGGAGGAGGTAAAGAGGAACACAAAGCAAAGAAGAGGGAAGAAAAAGAAGAAGAGTACTCTCTGTGTTTGTGTGTTAAAGGGGAAGAGGGAGAGTGGTGGAGGGAAGGAGGGAGGGGAAGCTTTTGCTAAAGAAGAATATGAATCAATTTCCTAATTACATTCCTTCTCCTCCTTCTTTCTCCTTTCTTATTTTCTTCTCTTTTGGTTCTTTGTATTAGTATATGCTCTAGCTATTCATTCTTTCTTTTTGTTTTATTATAATTTTTCTTCTTGAGCCCTCCTTTTATCTTTTCCTTCTTTTAGGGTTTCTTTGATGAGATATATAGTGATTGGACCAAGTTTCTTCGCCTGTAAGCTTTCTTCTTTCCATTTCCACTTCATTACCTATTTCTATTGTTGTGAAATGAAAGAGGATGGTAGATGTTTGTGGGACTTAGGGATGGTAATTTTTTTTCAAATTTTGGGTATTGTTCAAATCCAATTTATTAGGGTCAAATTAATTTTGTATAATATGATTTTTGGACATACTCAAGCCTAATATTTTATTTTAGGTTAAAATTAGACCCGTATCGGATCGCACTGACACTTGGACCGGACCATACCGGATCGAATATAACATGATTGATCCTTTGGTGTTATTTTTCTTCCATGACATGAGTTACTATTTCTCTTTATATTTATTTTTTATGACTATCCATTATTCGAATTTTTCTTATAATAGGGTGACCACATTTAGTGTGTGTTTGAATAGAATCAACAGTATTGTCAAATAATAAGAGTCCCGATTTCATGAACAGTTGGAAGATTCTATTTATGACCATCTAATTTTCAATTGGTCATTTGTTTCAACTTCATAAGTTGTACATGGTATTTCATGATTTTGTTGTTGACATATTTAAATGGTTGGGTTAGCTATTGGGAGCGTCTAATATCACTTAGTGACAATAGTTTCACAATGATGACTAAAATTATCATATGAAATAATAGAATATAGACTAACTTCAACTTCTTTTCCATTTTGACGAATGTACAACAAACAAAACTTAGGAGTTGGACCTTTTAGTGACGATAGTCTGCCAATTTTATGGTAAATTTGTCCATCCAATCGGAAACACGTATACTCCATCCAAACATTTCCAAGCATGATCGATCTTGCCAATCATAGAACTAAAATAGAAGATATCATTGTAGATATTCATACACTCATAAAATCGTTTTGCTACTTTTCTATCGAAATTAATAAAACTTAAGCTCTCAAGGGATTTTGTCGAGTGCATCATAAAAATTTCAAATGTTGGGCATTGTTCAAATCCAATTTATTATGAGCTAAATGAATTTGGGTAATATAATTTTTGGGCATACTCAAACCTAATATTTTATTTTATATTTAAATTGGACTCATCATATTAAGTATCGAAAAGAAACTCAATACCTTATTCTAATGCGATTTTTGCTTTTTATTTAGTTGTTTCAAAACAAATATATATGTGGAAGCATTAATATTGTAGGTGTGGATTGGTTTATTGTGGTTTGGTTCCTTCACTAGAGTGTGGATGGTGGTGTCTTCTCCAGTTGACCGTCGTGCCGGCTATGTGGTTTCTAAGGGTTCGGTTTCTTGTGCTCTTCTTGGACCATGACGTGTTGCCTCGGCTCCCTTTGCCTTTTTAGCTCGAAACAATCCTAATCATAGCCCTTACCACGGTCATGTAATCTTATATTCGAGATTCATTGTGTTGGGCCGACTTCAAGTGACTCTCAGGAGGCGGCTTATGACTTTATGGTGTATAATAGCCAATGGTCTCAGCCGAATCGGAAGAGCTGAATATGTGCTTGGTGCTACTTTGTTTGGTTGGTTGCAAGAGGGCTTTATAAGTTTACTTGGTTTTGGATCAAGTGTTCATATCTGCGGGTGGGTTGGTTCAATCTATGCTTTGCTCTCGTTGTCTGTATTTCTCAAGTATGGAATTAATTGTATGCAAGTATGGAATTAATTGTATGCTTGGGGTTGCCCCTCTTGATTTGATTTTGGTTTTCTTTAGTTAGTCTATATTTGTAACCTATCAATTAAAGTGCACTACAAGTGATCCCATTGTCAAAGTTTGGATCGGGTTGATTGCAGTTTGTGAGATAATTGGTATTGCGAGAGCGGTTACGGTGATTACTACAAAGCAGTAATCACCGTGGATACTAAGGATAGGAATGGTATTCTGGTGCTTATTGTTTTGGTAGTGATGCTGTGTTTTATTGGTAGTGTTTACATTGTGGTATTGATGTATATCTTTGTTGATGGATTGGTATTCAATATTGAAAATGAGTTGGATGCAGTGTATAATGGTTGTAACTTGTAAGATGTGCATGATTTGGTATTGGTTCAGTATCAGTACCATTAAAATGAATTATTTTGCTTGTCCCTGTGTTTTAATGGTATTAGTGTCGTTAGTTCTGCGTTGGTATACATATGGTTGACGTCGCTCTTAATCAGACATCGTAGGAGTATGATTTATTATTGTTTCAGTATATATACATATCTTTATTGGCATATATGTTTGGTTTGATTGGTATTGGCATAACTTTTTTATGTTTTGCTATTGTTAGTAACTAGTGTTTGTAGCAACCTTATGTATGATAATCAATACCATTCCATAAAACTCGAACAATACCATTGCACATATAACAATGAACACTACCATTCCATACAGTAGATCGCTACTAATGCATGCTAGTCTCTAGGGGTGGGCAACGGGACGGGACGGGATACCCGTCCCGTTTTAAACGGGTACCCAGTCTCGTTTGGAGACCAAAGTCCATACCATATCCCAAACCCAAATGGGAAACGGGTACCCATTTCCCGTACGGGACGGATAACGGGTACCCATACTACCCATAAATACCCAAAGTTTAAACCACTAAAATTTTAACAAAAGTTTAAACTTAACTTGTATTTGTTTAACAATCACAAGACACAAAATACATTCCAATCACAAATACTCGGTTTGCAAATAATACATTCATGAACAATCACAACACATAGAAATAAATCATTCCAAGCACCAAATTATCAAATAGGAAGTTTCATTCAACACAACCAAATGGGAGGCATGCTGCTAATTTTCTTGTGTTGCTGAATTCAGAAAGTGTCCAAATTTTTAGGTTCATGGGAAGCTAAATCTATAGCAGAGAAGCTGAGTCTCACTGAAAGAGTAAGGGCCCTGGGCCCAAATGGCAAATGGAATTGAAATTGCAAGGGTGAGGGCCGAAATGACCAATGGGTTCTGAATTAGGCTGGGCTGCCTTTGTATTGAATGGGTATAACAGGTACCCATATTACCCAAACGGGTATTCGCGGGTAACCCGCGGGCACCCATATTAGGAATGTACAATCCCAATTCCCATCCGTTTATAATATTACGGGTAATATGGGTACCCGTAACCCTTAAAAAACGGGACGGGTACGGGCATACCCAAATACCCGTTTCCCGTTGCCCAACCCTACTAGTCTCAACAAAACCGCACACACGTACCATTGCAAGATCAACAAACAGTGCAACTGATCTTGACCACTACCATGTATCCATGGTGCGCTCTTTTTCAATCCCTCTCCATCTCTCTCCGCTCGAAGGCAATGAAGAGGACATGAATCGATTTTCTCTCTTCCGTGAGCTTCCGGTTCGGGAGCGAAGAAGCCGCTTGTTTCGAGGCTGGGAGACGGTGGATGCGCCGGAGCTGGTGGAGGTGGCCGGCGGGACTAGTGCGGTGGGAGTGGCAGAGGCAGAGTCGGAGGGTGAGGAAGGAAGATGAGTGGGAAAGGGCGGCGGCGGAGTCAGAGTTCGGCACAGCAACCGCGGCGGTAGTCGTCGTCACCTGCATGGAGTCATCGTCATTGGGGCTAGAGTAGGCGGCCGACGGGATTAGTGCAACGGGAGTGGTGGAGGCGGATGCGGTGGGTTTGTCTGGAGGGAAGGTAGAACTAGGGTTTTGGTAGATTATATAGAATAATCAGATGTGATCACTTTTTCATTTTCAAAATTACTCTAAAAGAATCTTGACCGTAAGATTAAAAAAGAAGAGAAAATAGGAAATCAAATGATATATAAAAAGGTTGTCACCATGATTACTAAAATATAAGTAACTACCCTGACCTATTCCTTGGTATTGCTATACTTTGTATATAATTATCTGCACCCAAATAGAAAATTATATTGATACCAATTCAGATCCAACCCAAATCCAAAATTATTAAACGTGCACATATGTCCATTTCGATATAATCCAATACTCATTTCAACTCAAAATTCATATGATAATGACAATTTGGTTAAACTATCTAATGAGTCTACCCATTATCACTTTTGGGTGAGAGGCTGGATATCATGAATATTTCGAGAAGGGTGAAATAACAATTTCAAAGTTTCTTGTGTGACTAAGAAATAGGTAGGTAAATCAACAACATATGCAGCTTAATAATTTGAATGGTTGGAAAAGAATTTTTGTTATCTTTTTATATGTGTCTGAAATATACACCGAATTGTCAAATTTCAAGTTGATATAAGTATTGTGGACCTTATTAGTGATGACAATGGGGCGGGGCGACCGGGTAACTCAATACTCATGCACCGTCTCATGCTACTCGGTTCGGAGAGGGTAAAATCCGTGCGGATACGAGGCGGGGCGGGTCGATCCACTCTTACATGTCATTTGGAAAAAACACATGCAAATTTTACTTTTTACAATACAATGAAGGAGAGAATACTTTAGGAATGAAAAATAGTGATAATAGAATGGGTAATTGAGTCTAACAAATT